TGACCATTTTTTGATTGGGTTGTTTGTCTGTTTGTTAAGTTGCAGGGTTTTTTTATGTATGTTAGACATTAGATCTTTATTATATATATGGGTCCTGAAATTTTTCTCCCAATCTGAAAGTTGTCTTTTGACTTTTTTGATAACAAATGATTTTTTTAGTATGGCTCTTATACATTTTGCAACCTTGCTAAACTCACGTTAGTTCTAAAGCTTGTAGCTTGTATCAGATTTTGTACATATATTACCAAGTTTTCTGCTAATAAAGACAGTTTTACTTCTTCATTTACAATTACGATGCGTTTTATTTCTTTTTGTACTATTGTTTTCATATGTTTGACCTCTTCATATGGTATGAATCTTATTATACATTGTTATTGTGGTTGCTTTGAACAGTGGATTGTCTTTTAAAGATACTTAATAAAAAAATTTACATTTATCCATGTTGTTAATATTTTTTGTGCTCTTCATTCCTTTGTATAGATACAGATTTTCTTCTGGTATTATTTTCCTTCTGCTTGAAGTTCTTTACTTAACCTTCCTTATAGGTCAGGTTTGCTGGCGATGAATTCTCATAGGTATTGTATGTGTGAAAAAGTCTTTATTTTACTATTCATTTTATATAAGCTATATTGAGATATAATTTCCATACCATAAATTCACACATTTTAAGTGTACAATTCAGTGATTTTTAGTATAGTTACAGAGGAGTGAAACTATCACTGTATTCTAATTTTAGAACATTTCCATCACCCCAACAAGAAACTTTGTGCCAATTTGCAGTCACTCCCCATTTTCACCCTTAGCCTTAGTCAATCATTAATCCACTTTCTGTCTGTTAATTTCATACAAGGTTTTTAGGTATATTGAACAGGAGGTACAGATTTACCTTTTCTGGGTATTTCATATTAATGGAATTATAAAGTATGTGGTTTTTCATGTCTGATTTTTTTCATTTAGCATGTTTTTGAAGTTCATCCATGTTGTAGCATGCATATACTTTGTTCCTTTTTATTGCCGAATAGTATTCCATTGTATAATTATACCACATTTGTTTATCCATTCATCAGCTGATCAACATTTGGGTTGTTTACACATCTTACGTATTATGAATAATACTGTTACGAACATTTTCATGCGAGTCTTTGAGAGTCGACATAAATGTTCATTTCTCTTGAGTAAATACTTAGGAGAGGAATTGCTGGGTCATATAGTAAATCTGTGTTTATTTTTTTAAGAAACTGCCAGATTGTTTTCAAGAGTGGTTGATCTTTGACAAAGGTGCCAAGAAAATTCAATAGGGAAAGAAGTCTTTTCAACAAATGAACATCCACATGCAAAAGGGTGAATTTGTTTTCCATTCCAGCAGCAATGTATGAAGGTTCCTGTTTCTCCATATCCTCACCAACACTTGTTATTGTTTGTCTTTTTTGTTTCAGTCATTCTAGTGGGTGTGAAGTGGTTATTTCACTGTGGTTTCGATTTGCATCTCCCTAATAATTGATAGGAGCCCTGGTAGCACAGTGGTTAAGAGCTTGGCTCCTAACGAAAAGGTCAGCAATTCAAATCCACCAGCCACTCCTTACAAACCCTATGGGGCAGTTCTACTCTGTCCTATAGGGCCGCTATGAGTCAGAATCGAATCAATGGTAACTGATTTGGTTTTCTTTGGTTTGATAATTGATATGTTGAGCATCTTTTCATGTGCCTGTTGGATATTCATCTGTCTTCTTTGGAGAAATGTCTATTCAAATATCTTTCCCATTTTTAATTGGGTTGTTTGTGTGTTTTCTAAATTAATTTTTAAGGATTCTTTATATCTGAGTGCAACTTCATTATCAGATATACGATCTTATGATCTACAAATACTTTCTCCCAGTCGGTGGTTTACTTTTTTCAGTTTCTTGATGGTATCTTTTGAAGTACAAAAGTTCTTAAAGTTGATGAATTTCAGCTTATCTTTTATTGCTTGTGCTTTTGTTGTCATACCTAAGAATTCTTTGCCTAACCTAAGGTTGTGAAGATTTGCTTCTATGTTTTTTTCTAAGAGTTTTATAGTTTTTGTTCTTATGTTTAGGTTTATGATTCATTTTGAGTTAATTTTTTGTATGGTGTGAGGTAAGGGTACAAATTCACCGTTTTGCATGTGGATGTCCATTTGTTGAGAAGACTATTCTTTCCCCATTGAATTTTCTTGGCACCTTTGTCAAAAATCAAATGACCATAAAGATAAGGGTTTATTTCTGGATTCTCAATTCTTTCCATTGATCTATATGTTTATCCTTATGCAGGTACCCCCGGGTCTTCATACTGTAGCTTTGTAGCACATCAGGAAGTGAGTCCTACTGCTTCATTCTTCTTTTCCAGATTGTTCTGGATATTCCGGATCCTTTGTGTTTGCATATGAATTTTAAAATTACCTTTCCAATTTCTGCAAAACAGTCGGCTGGAATTTTGCTACAAATTGTGTTGAATCTTATAGATCGACTTTTGGAGTTTTGCCATCTTAACACTATTAGATTTTGTCATCTATGAACATGAGATGTCTCTCTACTTATTTCTGTCTTTAATTTCTTTCAGCAGTATTTTATAGTTTCAGTGTACAAATCTTGCTTTACCTTTCATTTTTGAAAAAAAATTTTTTGCTGACTAAAGAATTGTAGGCTGACTTTTTTCTTTCAGTATTTTGAAGATGTCACATCACAGTATTCTAACTTGCTTTATTTCCCATGAGAAATCTGCTGTCATCCTATCTTTGTTTCTATCTAAGTAATGTGTTTTTCCCCCTCTGGCTGCTTTTAAGGTTTTCTCTTTATCATTGGTCTTAACCAACTTGATTATGATACATCTTGGTGTAGTTTTTTCCATGTTTCTTGTGCTTGGGGCTTATTGATCTTGGTTCTATAGATTAACTTGAAGAGGATTGACATATTTACTGTTTTGAATCTTCCAATCTTTCCAATCCTTGAACATGGTATGTCTTTTTGTTATTTAGGTTTTCTCTGATTTTTTCATTAGCATTTTGTCATTTTCAGCATACAGACCCTATACATGTTTTGTTGATTTATAACTAAGTATTTCCTCACAACTGGACCAATAAGCAGGAGCTCTGGTGGTGCAGTGGTTAAGTGCTGAGCTGCTAACCAAAATGTTGGTGGTTCAAACCCACTAGCCGCTTCACGAAAGAAGGATGTGGCAGTCTGCGTCCATAAAGATTTACAGCCTTGGAGACCCTGTGGGGGCAGTTCTCCAGTGCCCTATAGAGTTGCTATGAGTTGGAATTGACTTGAAGGCAGTGAGTTTGGCTTTGGGACCAATAAGCAACCTCATGATAAATGGAGAAAATGTTGAAGTTGTGAAGGATTTCATTTTACCTGGATCAATAATCAATGCTCATGGAAGCAGTAGTAAAGAAATCAAACAGCATAGAGCATTGGGCAAATCTGCAAAAGACCTCTTTAAAATCTTAAAAAGCAAAGAAATCACTTTGAGGACTAAGATGTACTTGACCCAAGCATGGTCTTTTCAGTTGCCTCATACGCATGCAAAAGCTGGACAATGAAAAGGGAAGACCGAAGAAGAATTGATGCATTCAAATTGTGGTGTTGGTGGAGAATATTGAATATACCATGGACTGCCAGAAGAATGAACAAATCTGTCTTGGAGGAAGTACAGCAAGAATGCTCCTTGGAAGCAAGGATGGTGAAACTTCGTTTTGCTTACTTTGGACATATTATCAGGAGGGACCAATCCTTGAAGAAAGATATCATGCTCAGTAAAGTAGAAAAGAGGAAGACCCTCAATGAGGTATATGGACACAGTGGCTGCAACAATGGACTCAGACATACCTACTATTGTGAGGATGGCCCAGGACTGGGCAATGTTTCATTGTTATACATAAAGGTGGCAATGAGTTGGAGCTGACTTGACAGCACCTAACAACAACAATTTCATGTTTTGAGTTATTATAAATGGAATTTAAAAAAAATTTTGGTTTCTACATGTTCATTCCTGATATATAGAAACCAGATTGATTTTTGTGTTTGAGCTTATATCCTGAACTTTTGCTAAACTCACATATTAGTGTTAAGGGTGTTTTTGGGTTTTTTTTTGGGTAGATTGCATTGGATTTTATATGTAGACATTTATGCCACCTACAAATAGTATAATTCTTCCTTTTCAACCTGTATGCCTTTTATTTCTTTTTCTTGCCTTATTACACTGGCTAAGACTTCCATTATGATGCTGAGTAGGGAAGAGACCAATTTTTATTTTTATTTTTATTGTACTTCAGGTGAAGGCTTACAGAACAAATAGTTTCTCATGGAACAGTAGTACACATATTGTTTTATGACATTGGTTAACAACCCCACAACATGTCAACCCTCTCCCTTCTCGACCTTTTTTTTTTTTTTGGTGAAAATATACATAGCCAAAGATACACCATTTCAAAAATTTCGACATGCACAGTTCAGTGACATCAACTACACTCTTCCAATTGTGCTGCTATTCTCACTTCGGATGAAGGCTTACAGAACAAAATAGTTTCTCATTTAACAGTTAGTACACATGTTGCCCTATGACAATGGTTAACAACCCCACAACACATCAACAATATCCCTACTCAACCCTGGGTTCCCTATCACCAACTTTCCTATCCCCTTCTGCCTTCTGGCCCTTGTCCCTGAACTGCTGTGCCTCATTAGTCCCATTTGGTTTTATGGGGCTGTCCACTCCCTGGCTGAACGGTGAACCTTGGAAATGACTTCGCCGCTGAGCTAAAAGGGTGTCTGGGGGCCATACTCTCAGGGTTTCTCCAGAAGAGACCAGGTTTTGATGGTAAGATCATGAATTTGGCTTTTGGCCTTGATTATTATTAAAAGAGATGTTCATTTACAAGTTTGATTTCAGGTATTTTTTTCTTAATTATAGAACATGACATATCCTAGAATAAATGTATTGTCTTTTTGATTTTGAAATTTTATCCTATTGTGTATTCACAGGCTACCGTTTCTTCTGTTAAAGGAATTGTAATATTACTAAAGAGCCAAGTGGAAGAAGGCAGTGGTTCTCTGGCTGCCTCAGCCTCTGATGGCGTTCTTGAGGGGTTCATTTCTAATGATAGGTATATTTACATAAAAATAGAGCACTCTTCTATTTGGGGCCAGGAACAAGAGATACACACTCAGTTTGCCAGGTAAGAAATCTTTACTTGTTCCTTTAAATTCTAGATAGATAAGTAGGTAGGTAGGTAGATTGGTAGGTAGATAGATGGCAAAAACCAAACCCATTGCTGTCGAGCTGATTCTGACAAAATAAAGGAGATAGATAGATAGCTGCTGTTAATTCCACTTCGACTCATTGCAACCCCATGTACAACAGAACAAAATGTTGCCTCGTCCTGCATCATCCTCACAATTGCTGGCATGTTTGAGAACATTGTTGCAGCTATTTTAAATCTTACTTACATGCCTGATTTATCCTAATTTAAAATTTCCCAAACACCAGTTAATTATTTAAATGTTTAGATGTTTTATATGGAGACATGTGAAATAAAATGTATCTAAAATACAGAAATTGTAGGGATCAAAGAAGGTTCCTGGATCCTTCCCTAAACCTCTGCAAACACTGGCTCACTCTCCCCAAAGAGCTTCTGGAGTAGAGATTCCATAGCCTTTCTTTGGAGCCTGTCCAGGGTTTGAGTCAACTTTACAATGAGAAGTTGGGGAGAAAAGCATTCTCCTCAAGGCCTGAAGACCCATCGTCACTCACTGCCAAATTCCCAGATGAGTTTCTTCATCACACTCATCACTCACTCACTGCATTAGAAAGTTAAGTCATCACTGCCTTCAAGCAGTAAATTGCCCTTGATACCATCAAGGATATTACTAATTTCAAAGCTCTGATGACATGAAAACGAGCAAAACATATCTCATTGGACCTACCTTCTTAGGACCACAGAATTTTAGAACAGGCAGGGATGCTTCTGTTCTGAGCTGAAGCCTATGCCTGCATCACCTCCTTGCTTGTATTGTGCACTTGACTGGGGTTCCTACCTTGGGTGGGTGGCATCCACTGTCTGCCTGCCCAGCACTGTGAGCTTGAAATCAATTAGCCACCCATGGGAGAGCTCTTTGAAGCTGCTGCCCTGATGAGGAGTTCAGGGAGGCTTCGAAGGCATACCACAGACTCATTGAACTCTGGCTGATTTTAGGTAATTTGGGGGAGAAGGAGACAATATATTAGTCAAATATAGCACTCTGCTCCCCAAAATTCCATAACATTTTCACATAATCTTCTTTTGAAAGAAAAATTAGGGCAGGTCTATTCTATAGAAAGAGGAGCCCTTGTGGCACAGTGGTTAAGTGCTCAGCTGCTAACCAAAAGGTCAGTGGTTTGAACCCACCAGTCACTCTTTGAGAGAAAGATGTGGCAGGTTGCTTCCATAAAGATTATGGCCTTGGAAACCCTTTGGGGGAAGTTCTACTTTGCCCTATAGGGTCCATAGGGCCATAGGGCCCATAGGTCACTATGACTCAATGGCAATGGGTTTATTCTGTGGAAGACTCCTTCTTATAAGAATGGGCTCTTCATATTTCTGTGGCCTTTTCTGAATCCCAGATTTATATATCCTACTCAACATTCTCCACTTGGACATAAAATAGTCATTTCAGTCTTAACATGTCCACACTGAGCTCTTATTTTCTTCCTGAAACATGCCTTTGTCATCTTAATTAATGTCAGCACTAAGCCTTCCGTTAACTCAGGCCAAAACTCTTGGTGTTATCTTTGACTTATCTCTTTTTTTCATGTACACATCCAAGCTCATAGCGAACCTAGTTGGCTCTACTTCAAAATATAACTAGAATCCGACCTGCTCTTATCCCTCTTCTAGTGCCATCCTGGTCTAGGCCATCACCTCCAGACTGAACGGCAGCAGTAGCATCCAAATTGGGCTCCTGCTTCCACCCTTGCCTCCTTCAGTCTGTTTTCAGCAGAGCACCCAAGTCTTGTTAAAATATATTGTAAACCAGATCACATCACTCCCCTTCTCAAAGCCCTCCAGCAGCTCCTGCTTCACGCTGAGGAAAAGCCCAGGTTCCTCTGATGGCCCTTGAGGTCAACATGCTCTGGCCCCTCCACTGTGTCTCTCACATAAGGGCCTCATTCTCCCTTTCCTTTCTTCCTGCAGTGTTCTTCCCCAGATATCTACATGGTTTGCTACATTATTCCTTTATGTTTTTCTTCTTCTCCTCCTCCCCATTTTAAAGCAAATTATGAAAACACAAAAGTAGAGAGTAGTATAATGAACTCCATATGCGTATCTACCTAGTTATCAAAGATTTTGCCATACTTCTTTTTTGGGGGGCGGAGAGGAGGATCTGGGATTAAAGAAAATCCTGTTGTTAGTTGTTAGGTGCCATCGAGTCGGTTCTGACTCATAGCAAGTCATGTACAACAGAACAAAACACTGCCTGGTCCTCTGCCTTCTTCACAGTTGTTATCCTTGAGCCCATTGTTGCAGCCACTGTGTCAGTCTATCTCATTGAGGGTCTTCCTCTTTTTTGCTGACCCTCTACTTTACCAAGCATGATGTCCTTCTCCAGGGACTGATCCCTCCTGATAACGTGTCCAAAGTATGTGAGATGTAGTCTTGCCTTCCTCACTTCTAAGGAGCATTCTAGCTGTACTTCTTCCAAGACAGATTTATTGGCAGCTCATGGTATATTCAGTATTCTTCACCAAAGCCATAATTCAAATGCATCAGTTCCTCTTTAGTCTTCCTTATTCATTGTCCAGCTTCTGCATGCATATGAGGTGATTGAAAACACCATGGCTTGGGTCAGGCACACCTTAGTCCTCAAGGTGACATCTTTGCTTTTCAACACTTTAAACAGGTCTTTTGCAACAGAATTGTCCAATGCAATGTGTCTTTTGATTTCTTGACTGCTGCTCCGATGGGTGTTGATTGTGGATCTAAGTAAAATGAAATCCTTGATAACTTCAACCTTTCTCCCGTTTATCATGTTGTTGCTTATTTGTCCAGTTGTGAGGATTTTAGTTTCTTTATGTTGAGGTGTCATCCATACTGAAGGCTGTGGTCTTTGATCTTCATCAGTAAGAGCTTCAAGTCCTCTTCGCTTTCAGGGAGCAAGGTTGTGTCATCTGCATAACACAGGTTGTTAATGAGTCTTCCTCCAATCCTGATGCCCTATTCTTCTTCATATTGTCCAGCTTCTCCGATTATTTGCTCAGCATACAGATTGAATAAGCATGGTGAAAGGATGCAACCCTGACACGCACCTTTCCCGACTTTAAACCACACAGTATCCCCTTGTTCTGTTTGAATGACTGCCTCTTGATCTATGTACAGGTTCCTTATGAGCACAATTAAGTGTTCTGAAATTCCCATTCTTCGTAATGTTATCCATAATTTGTTATGATCGACCAGTAGAATGCCTTTGCAAGAAAATCCTAGTCGTGTCTTTTTACCCCCACGTATCTCAGGGCATATCTCTAAAAAATAAGTATGGGCATGTTTTTATTTAGCCACAATGCCATTTCCAAATTCTACAAACTTAACCATGTTTCCTTGGTAACAATTGATACCCAGTCCAAATTTAAAGTTACCTGATTGGCTCAGAATGTCCCTCTACAGTTGATTTATTGGGATCAGGAACCAAAGTCTACACAAGGCAATTGGTTGTCATGTCTCTTAAATCTCTTCTAATCTGGAGCATCCCCAACCCCTCACCCCATCTTGTGGACAATCACATGTCCTGGATTTATCTGTTTGCTTCATTGTGGCATTCTTTAACTTGTTCTCCTTTCCTCCGTATTTTCTATAAACCGAATTTGGTTCTAAAGGCTTGATTATTCAGGTTCAACTCTTTTGGCAAAAATGTTTCCTAGGGGTTGCTGTGTGCTTCATACTCCACCTGTCATGCAGTAACGAGGTGGCCAGATTTAGCAACTAAAAATACGGATGTTCAGTTAAATTTAGATTTCAGATCAACAACAAATTTTTTTTAATGTATGTCCCAAATACTACATGGGATGTACATATATGAAAAGTATGCAGCTCTAAAAATACTTAAATTTCTTTCAGATAAAAAATTGTTTTCTGAAAATCAAATTTAACGCATCCTGTCTTTTACTGGGCAACCCTTTATGATACAGCTGCCTGTCCTGATTTTCGTGTTGAGATTGATCAGTGGGTTCAGGCGGTGTCAGCATGATCTCGCCATTGCAAATTTCTCCATCAGCCTTTTTCTTTAATGGTGTTTTCCATTGATGAGGGTTGTCTGAATTTAATTATGGCTTATAAAATGGCAATTTTTCTAACTCTATCATTTCTTCCACATTTAATAACTGAAACATTCTATGAAGGACTTTTCTCCATCAACTAGGCTTTTTGTTAATTTATCCTTCATATCTTTACTCAACTGGTACTTTATCAGCAAGGCCCTCCCTGGCTACATACACCACACATGCACACTCCCTGCCTCCCTTCTCTTCTTTATATTTCTTCGTAACACTTACCATCATTTACCGTTCTATGTATTCTACTTATTTATTTTGTTTATTGTGTGTCTACCCTTAAGCTCTCTGAAGGCAGGAATCTTTGTGTTTATTATTTTATCCCCACAGCCAAGAACAATGCAGATGTTCAATAAATACTTATGTTTTGAATAAATGAATGCCAAAACTTAATTTTTATGTTTCAGGACAATTATGTGAAGATATTGCCTCAAGTACCATATTATTGGAAGTAATAATCCCAGTTCTATGATAGTGTCTTTGAGGTTCAAAATGAATTTAAATAAATCCTATTTAAATTAATATACACATAAACAAAGTTTTTATACAAGAAGTATTTTTATAACATTTATTAAACACCTGTGAAAGGTCTTTTCACATACATGACCTTCCTTAATCCTCACATTAATTCTGTAAGTTAGATTTTATTAATTCCATTTCATAGATGAGAAATTTCCATTTTATAGACAAGTCTCAGAGAGATAAACATCAGTCTTGAGATTTGAACTCAAGTCTCCTGACTCTAGGTATGTTATAATTGCTTGTTTATTTTGCAAATGTAACATCATTGACTTGTACAATGTAAATAATTTATAAAACATACCGCTTTTTAGTCACTTTATCTCACATGATATTCTTTTTGTTGGTTGTCTTATCAAGATAGAAACCAATTAGCTTTCATCTCTTATAAGTTAGTATTGTAGTTACTAGAGTATCTCATAAAGGACATCCAAGTTTCAGGTATAAAAGAGTATACAAGTGGAAGGGATGCTCCAGCTGCCCCTAGTGTTTCTCCCTTTTAAACTTCTCACTCCTTCCCTTTCTCCTCCCCTGGGCACCCTCCTTCCCAGTCCAACCAAGACACAACCTGGAACCATGCCATTGGCACTTTGCTTTCCCCGCGATCCTGGCTTACCTGTTCGAGGGAAACTGAAGTGAAACAAGCAAGAAAATGCAAAAAGATCTGTCCTTGGAGCACAAATTTCTTAGCTCAAGATAAGCAAAATCTAACTACACATTAACTTGGTAGGCAGCGCTAACTTGGGCTCCTGGTTTTTTCCTTCCTCAGCTCTTTCTGAAGAACCTCATTAATGTATTAATAAGCATTTACTGCAAAGGCAGATAAAGCTTGGTGGCTTTAAAGTTTGGCCTCTGGCAGCATCAAGATATAGTCTCAAACTTCAGACTTCAGCTTTGCCACTTATCAGTTGTGTAAATTGCTTAACCTATCCAAGCCTCAGTTTCCTTATCTGTAAAATGGATCTAGAGCCTGCTTAATAGGATTGTGATGAGGTTTCAATGCAACAGTCTTAGTGATGTGTTTAGCATAGTACGTGGCACATGGTAAATGTGTAGTAAATGTTTACTATTATAAATTCCACAGTCAGGGAGCTCAGGATGTAATGGGAGATAGGGGAGATACAGTGTAGCAAATGGCTCCTTGCCGGCATAGATGCGTGGACCGGAGGATTGAAGGAACATCGGTGCAGTAGCCGCTCCCTGCCTGGGGAAGCAGTGCAGACCTTCCAGAAGAAAATTTGCAGAAGTCATAGAAGAAGGATTTTAGGGGACAATACAGCATATGCAGTGGTCCAGGAGCATGTGAGGACGTGGCACACTCTGGTGATGGAGGAAAGAAAATGCTGTGTGACGAGCAGGCAGAATGTTTGGAGGGAGTGCTGGAGATTTATGCTGGGGCCAGGCTGGAAGGAGCCCAGAGTGTGTGTGCTCTGCACGGGAACGTGGGTCTTATTCTGCAGGTAATGGGACTTTCCCCAGGAATAGGCACTTAATGGCTGTATGACCCTGGGACATTCTGTAACCCTTCTGTGTCTCAGTTTCATCAGCCGTAAAGTGCAGGTAACAAACCATCCTTACCTTGTGGGGGTTTTGAGTTAATCTGCACATATGTACAGCTGTCAGAAACATGAAGATCTGTCTGGTAGCTTGTAGCGCTGTATGTGATAGTTATTAGCGTCAACAGTAACGCCATTTTTCCAAGGTCAAAAGTTCTCACTTAATGTCTAAATCAATTCATTTCATCTCCTAGGAAAGTGCTATTTCAAGCACTGAAATGTAAGTGTCCTGTTATTTGTTTTAATGGGAAGGATTTTGTGAGAGCTGTGCTCCAGTTTCTTGGTGACGATGGCAGCTGGAAGCAGGGTGAGTGATAGTTCTTGTCACTTCCTAAATCTAACTCTCCAGCATGGCTCCTCCTGGGAATGGAGGGACGACAAGGCTGTTGTGTTGCACAGCTCCAGGGGGCACCCTGTCATGCTGACTCTGATGTGCTCCCACATGGCTGGCTGCCCTAAGGGTGAGGAGGGCCTTTCACTTTCTGTTTCTAAATTATTGGAAAATTTACAAGGATATATTACTTTTGTAGTTTCAAGAAGAAAAGTATTAAGTTATACAGCACGGTCAGGATGGGATTTGTTGTGACTGAAAATGACTTATAAATTTTCTAAGAATTAAACTATACTCCAGGGTAATTAACATCAAAGCTATCTAGAACATCTTTCATCTTTCATTTAGAATAATAAAGAAGATTTTTATAACCATTTTTTACTAGATGACAGATATGTGATAAAGCAAATATAGCAAAAATGTTAATTGTAAAATCTAGCTGGTGGGTATATGAGTGTTGACTGTACTATTCTTTCCACTTTTCTGTATGTTTGAAAACATAATAAAACGTTGAAAAAACCCTTTTTATTATAGAATTTTTTCAACACATACAAAATCACCCATCACGCAGTTTCAGCAATTACCAACTTACAGCCAATCCTCTTTCCTCTATAATTCCACACACTTTCAGAATCCTCACCCCTTGGATTATTTTGTAGCAAATCCCAAACATGATATAATTAATCTGTTAATATTTCAATATGTACGACTAATACAAGAATTCCCGCCTTTAAAATAAGACCACCATCCCCCCCTTGAAAAATTAGCAATCGCTTCTTTTTTTAAATAAACTCCCTGGAACCTTTTTTTTTTTTAATTGTACTTTAGATGAAGGTTTACAGAATGAACTAGCTTCTCATTAAACAATTGGTACGCATATTATTTTGTGACATTGGTTACCAACCCCACGACATGTCAACACTCTCCCCTTCTCAACGTTGGGTTCCCTATTATCAGCTTTCCTGTCCCCACCTGCCTTCTAGTCCTTGCCCCTGGGCTCGTGTGCCCTTTTAGTCTCATTTTGTTTTATGGGCCTGTTTAATTTTTAGCTGAAGAGTGAACCTTGGGAGTGACTTCATTACTGAGCTAAAAGGGTGTCCGGGGTCATACTCTTGGAGTTTCTCCAGTCTGTGTCAGGCCAGTAAGTCTCGTCTTTTTTGTGAGTTAGAATTTTGTTCTACATTTTTATCCAGGTCTGTCTGGGACCTTCTATTGTGATCCCTATCAGAGCAGTTGGTAGTAGTAGCCAGGCACCATCTAGATGTGCTGGACTCAGTCTGGTGGAGGCTGTGGTAGTTGTGGTCCACTAGTTCTTCGGACTGATCTTTTCCTTGTATCCTGTTCTC